GCCCGCCGCAGCCTCGACCTGCTGGGCTCCGGCGATCCTTCTGCCTCAGCCTTCCGAGTAGCTGGAATTACAGGCACGCGCCACCACGCCCGGCTGACTTTTTTATTTATTGTAGAGATGAGGTCTCGCTGCCCAGGCGGGTCTCGAAGCCGCGAGCTCAGGCAATCCACTCACCTCAGACTCCCAAAGGCGCAGAATTACAGACTGAGCCACCAAGCCCAGCTGGACTTTTCTTTTTTTGGTGTATCTTGAGTAAAACCAGCACTAAGCACAGAAGAGACTCCACTCAGGTTTAATAAATAAATGGTACTGAAGGAATAGGGATGATTTTCACTTCAAATTCACTCCAATTCTGTGCTATGATTCTCATTCCTGGAAGTACTACAGGTTTTTCTGGGAGATAAAATGCTATTCACCTCTCATAATCAGAAAAATATAGTGAAGAAAAAAGGCATAAAACTAGACATTTTTCTAGTTGAGTACATACTTGTCACCAGTGAATATATAGGCAACCACATCCTTCAAAGTCGCAAGGAAAAGTCCCAATGCAAGTGCACAAACACCTGGAAAATATAGAAGAAACAACAGGAAATGATAATGCTTCAGTGTTACAAGTCCCAGGAGTGACTTTTTGTGAAATATATGCCAGTGATTTTGAAAATGTGATCATGTAAATAGTGTTTCTTCTTATAGTCTAAGAAAAGATCAACAAAGGCCCTATGATTCCAACTCCTTTTTCTATGGGATAATTATAAAAGGATGATCAGCCCGGCGTGGTGGCTCATGCCTATAATCCCAGCACTTTGGGAGGCCGAGGTGAAAGGACTGCCTGAGCCCACGGGTTCAAGACCAGCCTGGGCAACATGGCAAGACCTCTTCTCTACAATAAATCAAAAACTAGCCAGGCATGATGGTGCATGCCTGTAGTTCCAGCTACTTGGAAGGCTGAGGCCGAAGGATCCCCTGAGCCTAGCAGGTCAAGGCTGCAGTGGTGGCGAGCATGCCACTGTACTCCAGCCTGGGTGACAGAGTTAAGACTCCAACTAAAAAAAAAAAAACCAGAAAGAATGCTCAATACAACGTCCATACTAAAAACAAACAAACAAACAAAAAAAAACAAACCAGAAAGAATGCTCAATACAACGTCCATACAATCAGAATCTTTCCTTACTGCTCATACACTACAACCATAGAACTGCCAGAGGTGGTCCAGGAGCGTGGAGAAATGTTCCCAGACCACTATGGTCATAAGATTGTGGATAACAATTGCCTTTAGAATTATTTCAGTAGTATTAAGTATAGTGTTATTTGGTTGTTGTAACAGAAAATCAAAATTAAAAGCTTTATAAGCCGGGCTCGGTGGCTCAGCCTGTAATCCCACACTTTGGGAGGCCGAGGTGAGTGGACTGCCTGAGCCCGCGGGTTCGAGACCCGCCTGGGCAACTTGGCGAGACCTCATCTCCACAATAAATCCAAAAAATTAGCCGGGCGTGGAGTCTTTTCTGTGCTTAGTGCTGGTTTTACTCAAGATACACCAAAAAAAGAAAAGTCCAGCCGGGCTTGGTGGCTCTGAGGGCCGCGGGAGCACATCTCCCTCAATGCCCCTCTTGCCTTCCCAGGGGTCCTAGCTTTTCCGTATAGGGCTTTTCTTCAGTCAGAGACGCCCTGTTTGCCACGCAGACCTCTATCTCCACGGAGTGGCCAAAGGTAAGGGGGAGGCGGGCCCAGAAATTCTGTAACAGAAGAAAGGCTCAGCGGTTCCAATCCTGATTGTGACATCATCGCTTGACGGACTTGTGGGTTGGACCAATGCTGTCGCGGCATTAGGAACACAGGATGGGCCGGACTCGGTGGCTCAGCCTGTAATCTCGCACTTTGGGAGGCCGAGGTGAGTGGATTGCCTGAGCCCGCGTGTTCGAGACCCGCCTGGGCAACTTGGTGAGACCTCATCTCTACAATAAATCAAAAAATTAGCCGGGCGTGGTAGCGCACACCTGTAGTTCCAGCTACTTGGATGGCTGAGGCGGAAAGGATCACCGGAGCCCAGCAGGTCGAGGCTGCGGTGGCCGGGAGGGTGCCACTGCCCTCCAGCCTGGGCGACAGAGTGAGACTCCAACTCAAAAAAAAAAAAAAAAAAAAAAAAGCTTTATATAAGGCTGCGCATGATGGCTCATGCTTATAACCCCAGCACTTCGGGAGTCTGAGGCAGGAGGATTGTTTAAGGCTAGGAGTTCAAGAACAACCTGGGCAACACAGTGAGACCTTGTCTCTACAAAAAATAAAAAAAATTAGCCAGGCATGGTGGTGTGTGTCTGTAGTCCCAGCTACTCAGGATGCTGAGGTGGGAGGATAGTCTGAGCCCAGGTCAAGGCCGCAGCAAGCCATGATGGTGCCACTGCACTCCAGCCTGAGCAACAGAGTGAGACTCTGACTCAATCAATCAATCAAAACTTTATCTAACTCATCAAATTGGAAAGAGCATAAAGAATAGAAGCTGTGGCCAGGGCTGGTGGCTCAGCCTGTAATACCAGCACTTTGGGAGGCCGAGGCGAGTAGACTGCCTCAGCCTGCAGGTTCGAGACCAGCCTGGGAAACTTGGCAAGACCTCATCTCTACAATAAATCAAAAATTAACCAGGTGTGGCAGTGCATGCCTGCAGTTCCAGTTACTTGGAAGGCTGAGGTGGAAGGATCACTGGAGCCCAGCAGGTCGACACTGGAGTGGCTGTGAGCATGCCACTGCACTCCAGTCTGGGCAACAGAGTGAGACTCCAACTCAAAAACAAAAAGAATAGAAGCTTTAATTGTGTGTGTATATACGTGATTCAATTCCTAGAGAAATCTGAGGGGTAGAATTTTGACTTGTAACATGACAGACACATGGACCCACGGCGGGCAGAATGGCTGCACTCACCGGCACACAGGAGAACGGTGGTACAGGAGCACCGAGCCTGCTCGACATTTCCTGCCCCCAGTGCATTGCCCACTCGGACGCTAGCTGCAACACCAAAGCCAAGGGGCACCTGGGAATTAACAAGCACAAATCACAATTATAAATCCTGAAAACCAGAGTATTAGAGCACTAGGGGCCAACTAAATGGAAATTCCAGACTCAGAGATCTGAGTTCTAGAACTGGCTCTACGACATCCCACCCGACTGGAGACAAACCGCTCAGCCATATAACACCCGATTTCTTGACCAGTAGGAAGTGTGACGCTGCCCTTACTACTCCCTGGATCAAATGTGTCCCAGCAGTACCTCAAGGTGAAGCTGGATTTGAGGGCAAAACAATACCTCCTTTATTGGCTACATACACGATCAAAGCTTAATTCAACCTAGTTATATAGTAACATAAGATTTAAGTTACTATAAACAGAAGCAGATAAATAATTTGTAAAAAGTTAAATGAACCATGTGAACAAGCACTTAGAACCAAGACTGGCACACTGTAGGAACCCTGTAAACAATGATGAAATCTGACTCCATAATACCTCATTGATGGTGGGATGGATGAAACATTCCTTAGGTCTGATTATTCAGCACATTGAAATATGATCCCTCAAATGCCAAAGCTTTATTTTAATCTTTGACTATGGAAATCGAATGCTATACGCATCTGTTGGGAGCCAGCCACGGAGGCCCACTGAGTGTTAGGGATCAGGAAGGGCTGTAGACCCCAAGACCACTAGGATGTGTTTGGGAGCTGTTGACCCATTCCCTCCCTCCTTTTCCATTTGGCACAAACTACCAAGAACAGCTCCAGCTGGCTCTAACAGAAAACTCTGAGACCGGAACGAACACAGCTGACCTAGGAGTCTATTGTTCCCATTCCCCACGGCTTATGGTCTTTTGCTCTATCACAATTTAAGTTTGGCTTTGAGTCACATTGAGGAGCCTTAGTACAGGTCACAGGTTCTCTTGATGCGACCTTTAGAAATTTATAAATACAGGTTTTAAAAAATAGTTTACATAGATTAAGAAAATTTAAGTAACCATTTTATTATAGAAGTATGGTTAGTTCAGTTTGATTTAGGGGGGCCAGTGAAGTTTGAATTAGGCCAGCTGGTACTAGGAGAGTGTAACCATAGCAGCTATTTTTTAATAAAAACTAGTTTGAATTAGTACATAATAGTGGAAGTTAATAATTCACTATGGTGGTTTTGGGTTTAGACATTGAGTGATGTTAATTCAAGATGATGTAGTTGTAATACAATTAAGGGCACGTAAGAAACTGGTTTGGGGGAACATTAAGCTAGCATAAAATACAAAAAGATAATTTGTGGTTGTTCTTCCTCATGTTCTTCCTTACATATGAAAGAACATTTGCTTGAGAGTGGGGGGTGTCCTTTGCGCACCTGGACCTGTTCATGTGAAAGGCACATGCTACCTTTGTTTCCTGTGATGATGACTTTGAGAGTTTGGGGATAAAAGCCCTGAGATTACACCCATTAAACGGCTTCTGGTCACTTGAGCAGGAGTCCAGTCTCTTTCTTTCTCCCCTCTTCTCTTTCTTTCTCTTTCCAGAATAATCGCCGATGCTGCCACACCTTCCAAGGGACCTCCTAAATCTCTCTGTGGGGGCTGGCCCCCCCGCCAAGTGTCTTTGCTTTTTAAGTGTCTTTGCTTTTTAAACCTCATTCAACCTTTGGGCCATTCTCTTGACCCTCTCTTATTACCCCGTAAAACAGCACTGCCTCAGGAAGTGTGTGGGTGACATGGGTTGTACAAGCAACCTAGGCTTGCGCTCTCACGTCTGCTTTTAATCATCTGCACGTCAACTTTAATTCCTACTAGAAGCAGCATCCTCCCAACAGCCTTAGAGTTGGTTACTGCTTTGAAAACTAAGTAGAACTGACACAAATACCTATTAAATTGTTAAGTTTAAGAACCTGACCAGGCATGGTGGCTCATACCTGTAATCCCAAAACTTTGGGAGGCAGAGACCAGAGGAGCGCCTGAGTCCAGGGGTTTGAGATCAGCCTGGGCAACTTGGCGAGACCTCGTCTATACAATCAATCAATCAATCAATCAATAGATCAATTAGGCATGGCGGCACAGGCCTGTAGTTTCAGCTACTTGGAAGGCTGAGCAGAAGGATCACCTGAGCCCAGCAGGTCAAGGCTGTGGTGGCTGTGAGCGTGCCACTGCACTTCAGCCTGGGCCACAGAGGGAGACTCCCACTTAAAAAAGAAAAAATGAAAAGAACATGAGAAACAATAGACTTGACTATATAAAAATTTACAAGACTTGTGAGCCCAAAGAATACAGAATTAGCTTCCATTTGAAGAAGAATGACTTGATTCCCTTCCCTCCCCAAACACCCTTAATGGGAAATAAATTTCCGCGTGTAAGGGAAAAGAAATTCATTAACAACACTGAGAATAAGTGAGCAGATGAGCTTCCAGAAGAGGAAAAACAGGCACCATCACCAGGACCCTGGGGTAGAAGCACAGGAAGCCACAGCCCAGAGTATAACAGAACGTCAGCTCACGCTCCTTCTTTCCAGCAGCGCCCCGGGAGTCCTGAAGCTCCAGGTTCACCATCGAGGCTGTGAGGAACGAAGTCAGGGAGATGCACCAGAGAGCTAGGGCAGGACAGCCAGATTCCATCGCCCACCTGACCCTCCCTCAGACTCACTGCAGACAGAAAGGCTGGGCTGACGGAAAAGCCAAAGGTGTAAGCTCCCTCTGTGGTGTGAGCCACCCCTTCTCTGGTCTTGGGGACATGGGGATTGAATGGGGTGGGGTGAGGGAGTCAGGCTACCTGTTGCTTGCTCCTCACCCAAAAATCCTAAAATCAAGTTGTCTCTTGACAGATACCACCTTGGGTAATGAGCTCATCACTGGTCCTTCCCTTTCAAGGAAGAGATCGATTAGAGAAAACTCCCCAAATAACAGGATGGGAAAGCCATGCTGGCCACTTACTTTATGAATCAATGTACTCATTTATAAATATAAACAGACTAGCAAGATCACCAGACTCTTGAGGAAAACTGAAGCACACGTTGCCAAAAATATCAAGAGAAATACAAGGTCAACGGATTTCAGGGGGAACAAAATAAATGATTCAAGAAACACAAAAGGACTTTTTTTGGTTTGTTTTTGCTTTTTCAAACAGCATCAGAACATCCAAGGAAACAACGGAACATTTACAGGTTAGATTTAGTAGCCTTATAGGTATTTAAAAGATAATACAGCATAAAACAAGAACAGGTTCCCATAAAGAAGGGACTATAAGAGAAAAAAAAAAGCTCTTGGAAATTAAAAATGAAACTCAAAAAATTTAATAGTGGTGACAGAAAATAACAAAAAGGTCAGGTGCGGTGGCTCACGTCTTTAATCCAGGGTTCAAGACCAGCCTGGGCAACTTAGCGAGATCTTGTCTCTACAATAAATCATAACATTAGCTGGGCATGGTGGTGCACACCTGTAGTTCCAGCTACTAGGAAGGCTGAGGCTGAAGGATCACCTGAGCCCAGCAGGTTGAGGTCGAGGCTGTGGTGGCCATGAGCATGCCACTACGCTCCAGCCTGGGTGACCGAGTGAGATTCTGACTGACTCAAAAAAAAAGAGGACATAGAAGAGATTTATAGAAAAGGAGAGAAATTTTATTTTTTTAATTTCCCAGAGCTGAAGAAAACATAAGTCTTCAAACTGGAAGGGTACACCACTTACTAAGTAGAAGTAAAAAAGTATCCTCAGAGAAATATACTCTTGTGAGATTTTGGAGCCATATGGATTATGACACATATGTTAAAACTTAGAGGCCTGGTACAGTGGCTCACGCCTATAATCCCAGCACTTTGGAAGGCTGAGGTAAGAGGGCTGCCCAGCACTTTGGAAGGCTGAGGTAAGAGCTCCCAGGTTCGAGACTAGCCTGGGCAACTTGGTGAGACTTCATCTCTACAGTAAATCAAAAAATTAGCCAGGCATGTGGCACATGCCTATAGTTCCAGCTACTTGGAAGGCTGAGGTGGAAGGATCACCTGAGCCTAGCAGGTCGAGGCTGCAGTGGCTGTGAGCGTGCCACTGCACTCCAGCCTGGGTGACAGAGTGAGACCCCAACTCAAAAAAAGAAAAAAAAAATTATCAAAGAGAAAAATCATGTTGTCTACAAAGGAACAAGAATCAGATTCTAGTCAGACTTCACATCAGTAACTCTGAATGCCAGATAATGCCTTCACCATTCTGAAGGAAATTATTCTGAACCTAGAACTCTGTACTCAGTCAAATTATTAAATATGAAAGACAATAATGATTATAGAACACAATTCAAATATTATAAACTTCACAAAACACATTAAACAAGTGTAAGGGGAAAAAACAGACTCTTTCAAATATGTGTCTTGTGATTTACCTTCCATGTAATCTTGCGAACAAGTTTTTGACTAAATACTCCAAAAAAAATTTTTTAAAGGAATCTAAGAAAAAGGAAGAAATGGAATCTAACAAGCTGTAGGCTTAATTCAGGTAGATAATGAAAGAAATTCTGAAATGACAGCTGTGCTGCATGCTAGAAAATAGTCTAGCAATCAATGATTAGAAATTAAAACAAGGAATCAAAGAGCCCTAAGGTGTTTAATAAAAAAAGGTCTAAAACTTAATGTTATGTTTAAACGCAAGATAATCTTAATAACATGCTGCTCCATCAGTAAGAAATAAAGACTATTAGGAATGCCAGAGAAATAAAAAGCTGTATAAGAAAAGTCATGACCTAACTATGAAGCAAAGGAAAATATGATTTTGACCAACTGATAAAAACAAGAAAACCGAATTCATTTCATCTTTCCAGTAATCACAGCACTTTGGGAGGCCGTGGCAGGAGGATTCCTCGAGCCAGGAGTTCAAGACCAGCCTAGGTGCCACTGCACTCCAGCCTGGGCAACAGAGTGAGATTACAACTCAATCAATCAATCAAAACATGAAAAAAATGGTTATGTCACAGCGTTAAGTGAAAAAGCAGGACACAACTGTGGGAAAAACAAGCACGGCAAAAAGACCTGAAGTGGGTGAGGGGAAATTTAACTTGAGAGTCTGTCCTTAACTGATAAATTTAGTATATTTTCCTATAGTATGATTACACATTTGGCTTTGTTTTATTTTACATTATTCATAATGTTTTTTTGGTTATTTTATCTTCTTTGTTTGCACTCCTTTATGTTGAATTAATCATATATTTTTTTTTGAGTTGGAGTCTCACTCTCGTCCAGGCTGGAGTGCAGTGACATGCTCATGGCCACCGCAGCCTCGACCTGCTGGACTCAGGCAATCCTTCCGCCTCAGCCTTCCAAGTAGCTGGAACTACAGGCATGCACTGGCACGTCCAGTTAATTTTTTTATTTATTGTAGAGATGAGGTCTCAAGTTGCCCAGACTGGTCTCGAACCTGTGGGCTCAGGCAATCCTCTTACCTCGGTCTCCCAAAGTGTTGGGATTACAGGTGTGAGCCACTGCGCCCAGCCAATCATGTTTTCTTAACTTTCTTTTTAGAGATTACATATTTGATTCCTTCCATTTTGGTTAGTCCCTTAAAATGTCAATACCTGACTTTAAAACTCTAAGTTAATCACTATCTCCTACCATTTTCCCCAACAGGGTCTAGATTCCTTTAGGATAATCCTCTCCCAACCTTAACTTTCACTGGTGTACAGGTCTTAATTCCACCTTTTTTCACACTGTGTGAATTAGTCTGTTTTTATCATCATTTTTGCTTACAGTCAATGCTAGCTTAGATTTATCTGTATTTACCCATTTCTTTGCTCGTTATTATTTGGACATTAGTGTTTGTGTCAGTGAAATCTTGTGAATGGTCATGTCTCTCCATCTTTACTGAAAAATATCTTTCCATTTGCCCTCTTCTACGAGCAAGCACATAGCAGGGCAAATAAGAATTAACATTATTCTCTCAGATATTATTTCCCTGTTTCTAGATTTTACTGTTGTTATTGAGGTGTGAATCCTCCAACTTTTTTCTAATTCAAGTTCATTTTGACTACTCTGGGTCCCTTGTATCTCCATATGAATTTTAGGACTACTCTGGGTCCCTTGTATCTCCATATGAATTTTAGGACTACTCTGGGTCCCTTGTATCTCCATATGAATTTTAGGACCAGCTTTCCAATCTGTAAAAATGGCCTGTTTGATGGGGACGACACTGAATCTGTAGATCAATTTATCTTTCCATATATTTAGGTCTTTTGCTGTCTACTCTTACCAAAATGTAAGTACCACAAGGGCTGTGCTTTCGTTTGATGAAGTATCCCATGCCTAAAAGAGGACTTTTAATTTCTTTCTGGAAGACCGAGGCAGAAGGATCGCCGGAGCCCAGCAGATCGAGGCTGCGATTGGCTGAGAGAGTGTGCCACTGCACTCCAGTCTGGGTGACAGAGGGAGACTCCGACTCAAACAATAACAACAACAAATTTCTTTCAACACTACACAGGGTGCCAAAAAAAGAAAAGTATACACATTTTAAGAAAGAAAAAAACCGTATTAAAATTGTAATACTCATTATATACCGATAACAAAAGATGAATAAATCACATTTGACTTCTGCAATGACAAGAGGTGCTCAAAGTGGTCACCATTAGTGTCCAGACATTTCTGATTATGGCAAACTACTGCAGGAGTTGTTGCTGTGCGAGATCTCTCAGATCTTCCTTATGCACATCACACACAGTACCATGCGTCTCAAACTTATCACAAATGTGTGCAGTTGTTAGGTGTGTTGGAGGTTCTGTTGCATACTCACACCTCTATTGTCACTGTATTTCCACAACATTCTCAAATTTCAAATACCATTTCAAAATGGTCTTACACTCCTCAAATGACAACTCTTTCCACCATTTTCTTTGACTGTCCTGTCTATCGCATGGTGATGCTCACATTCATTTCATTAACACCAACCTTTGAGCAAAAGTCATACTACACATTGCTACAATTCAGTTCAACTTTGGAAAGTAATATAGCCGGGCTCGGTGGCTTAGCCTATAATCCCGCACCTTTGGGAGGCTGAGGTAAGTGGATTGCCTGAGCCCGCGGGTTCGAGACCTGCCTG